TTTTTTTTTTCTCAGCATGCAGGGCAGTACTGCCCCCAGCACTGCAACATCATGGGCTAACTCCTGCCTTGGATGTTGCTGGACTTATGAACCCAGCRCACAAAAGTGTCTCATCACGCTTCATTGACTGCTCTGAGATCAACATAAATTAACAGCCAGAAAGCAGAGCAATTTTATTTCAATAGYATTTGCAATTAAAGCAATCCTGTTGTATCTTGTATGCAGGTGCTGTGAAAAATGAACTTTTCATTTTTTTCCTAATCAATGCAGCTGCTCTCATTTTCTCCCTCACTCTTAATCCCTTCTTTCTGACTTAATTTCACAATATTTCTGTGCCTCCCTTCATTGTTTAATGGGAGATTCATCACATAACTGGAGAGGTTACACTGGAGTACCCTCAATTCAAAGAGACAGCATCCGGGCATCTTRTGATTTCTACCCAAAAGTCAATTTTTGATCCAGAAGTAACATTTAACAAGACTCTGGCTTTAAGCAAAGGTAGGAAGAATTTATTGTTTTCTAATGATTACTGCAACTCCTGATCAGCTCTCTGATGTGCATGTGTGCACAGATTACTGGGTTGAAAATAGATAAAGGAAGGACGATCTCCACAATATTCACTTTTTTTTCCTCAGAACTTTCTCTGCTCTCAAGTAGTAAATGAATCCTCAAACACGGATTCAGCTATTTTAAGCTGAAAATTCTTTATTCTAGACATCTCTRCTGCCCAAATAAAAATGTAGYTGGTTAAACCCCCCTWTTTTCTTTTTTTTCTCCTGTTYGYTTAGTTTCCAGTTCTGCAGGAGTAGGACACCATTAATCTCCCTCTGGGTTCTCCATTGCCATTTATTTATTCTGTCACTTTGAAATGTCACCATAGTGTGTCTTGCCAGGCTGATAATGGGGTAAACCCTTAAACTCCTATTTTGCTTTCTCTGGTTTCTTCTCTCCTCTACCTAGATCTTGTCATGGCAACATCTCTAAACCACTGTCCTTCCTATTTATTTATTCATTTAGGATTCTTGTCTGCAATGTTTCAGCTCATTAAGAAGACTTTCAGCTACCTTCTATTCATGTTGAAGACACCTATTTTCAGTATTTCAGAAACTAATGGCACACGAAACAGGTAGCCAGTTGATGTCTTTCCTATTTACTACATATATTGACCTGATTTTCTGTGGTTTTCTGCTACTTCCACTGTTGTTTCACATTAAAAAAATTAAAAAAAAAAAAGAAAGACCCTGCTGCCAGGCAGCCTGAGGCTTCAGGAAAAAGTTCTTGTTCGTGGTATGATGTAAATCATATCTGGAATGTGACTGCATGCTGYCCAGGCATCTAACTAAATAACACAGTCGATATTAAAAAAAAAAGTCATATTTGAGAACACCTGCAAAGGCTCCTTTGCAGTTAAATTTTGATGTTCTATGATAGTATTGTGTGATGCATGGTTTTTTG